CTGGTGATACAGGCATACCTCAGAGATCTTATAGTTTTGTTTCCAGCCACTACAATAAAGCCAATATCACAACAAAGCAAGTCAAAGAATTATTTAGTTTCCCAGTACATATAAAAATTATATTTACACTAAACTGTGGTCTATTAAGTATGTATTAGAATGTCTTAACAATGTTCATACCTTAATTAAAACCATGTTATTGCTGAAAAATGCTATCATCTGAGCTTTCAGTGAGTGTAATATTTTTTGCTGCTGAAGAGTCGTGCCTTGATGTTGATGGCTGCTAACTAATCAGTGTGGCGGTTGCTGAAAGTTGGGGTGGCTGTGGCAATTTCTTAAAACAATAAAGTTTGCCACATCATAAACTTTTCCTCCCATGATTTTTCTGTACATGTGATAGCATTTTGCCCACAGTAGAACTTCTTTCAAAATTGGAGCCAATCCTCTCAAAGCCTGCTGCTTCTTTATCAACTAAGTTTATGTAATATTCTGAATCCTTTTTTGTCTTTTCATCAATCTTCACAGCATCTTTAGGAAACCACTTTCTTCACTCATCCATAAGATGACTCCTCTCTATTAAAGTTTTATCATGAGGTTGCAGCAATTAACTTCAGGCTCCACTTCTCATTCTAGTTCTCTTGCTATTTCCACCATATCTGCAGTGACTTCCTCCACTGAAATCTTGAACCTCAAGGTCATCCATGAGAGTTAGAATCAACTTCTTCTGAACTCCTATTAATGTTGATGTTTTGACCTCTTCCCATGAATCGCAAATTTTCTGAATGGCATCTAGAGTGGCAAGCCCTTTCCAGAAGGTTTTCAGTTGACTTTGCCCAGATCCATCAGAGCAATCCCTATCTGTGGCAGCTGTAGCCTTATGAAATGTATTTTGTAAATAATAAGACTTGAAAGTCAAAAATTACTTATTGACCCATGGGTTGCAGATGGATGTTGTGTTTTCAGGCATGAAAATAAGATGAATCTCTTTGGACATCTCCATCAGAGCTCTTGGATGACTGGATGGATTGTCAATGAAAAAAAAATATTTTTTTTTCTGAACACTAGGTCTCAACAGTGGGCTTAAAGTATATAGTAAACGCATTTAAATAGATGTGCTACTATCCAGGTTTACAGAACACAATTTAGCATAATTCTTGCCCCTGTGATTTTTGGAATGGTAAGTGAACATTGGCTCCATTACTTTGTACGAGAGTCAGCCTATTCTTTGAAGCTTTGCAAGCAGGCATTGACTTCTCCTCTCTAGCTATTAAAGTCCTGGATGGCATCTTTTTTCCAATATAAGGCTATTTTGTCTACAGTGAAAATCTGTTTAGGGTAACCACTTTCATTCATTATCTTAGCTAGATCTTGCAGATAGCTTGCTATAGCTTCTATATCAACACTTGCTTCACTTTACACTTTCATGTTATAGAGATGATTTCTTTCCTTAACCTCATGAACCAGCCTCTTCTAGCTTCATACTTTTCTTCTGCACCTTTGTTACCTTTCTGAGCCTTCATAGAATTGAAGAGAGTTGAGGCCTTGCTCTGGATTAGGCTTTGGCTTAGGGAAATGTTGTGGCTGGTTTGATCCTCTATCCAGACTACTAAACCTCTCTCCATATCAGCATTAAGACTGTTTCTCTTTCTTATCATTCATATGTTCACTGGCACTTTTAATTTCCTTCCAGAACTTTGCCCTTGCATTCACAACTTGGCTAACTGGCTCAAGAAACCTAGCTTTCAGCCTGTGTTGGCTTTTGACATGGCTTCCTCACTAAGCTTAATCACTTCTAGATTTTTATTATTCTCTTAATCACATGAGAGATGTACAACTCTTCCTTTCATTTGAACAGTTAGAGGCCATTGTAGGGTAACTGACTGGCCTAATTCCAGTGTCGAAGTGTCTAAGGGAATAGGGAAGGCCATGGGAGAGAGACTGGGGAATGGCTGGTTGGTAGAGCAATTAGAATACATACACCATTTATTAAGATTTCTGTCCTATATGGGTGTAGTTTGTGGTTCCCCAAAGCAATTACAATAATAGTATCAAAGAGCACTGATTACAGATTACCATCACAATTGTATTAATAAAAAAGCTTCAAATATTACAAGAATTACCAAATGTAATAGAGAGACATGAAGTGAGCAAAGGGTGTTAGAAAAATGGTGCCCATAGACCAGCTCAACACAGGTTGCCACAAACTGTCAATTTCTTAAAAAGCTCAATTTCTGCAAAACAGTAAAGAAAGCACAATAAAATGAGGAATGCTTATATATATTGGCAAGTGCAACTCTTGGTGCGTTTCATGTCTTTTCATGTGTCACTCATTTGTACATCATTCTCTCGGGCTTCCTATTCTTGAAGCGCTGAGAGGTGGCAGGGCAGATCTTAGTGGGGCTTAGCAATCCCTTGTGAGGCAGCTCTCTCAGGAAAGACCATCACAGGCATTCAGACAGGGGGAAGCTGTCTGAGAAAGAGGAGGAAGGGCAAGAGAGAATGGCAGAATTGAGTGGTTTAAGGTCCCTTGCGTGCTTCATTGGAATCTGCCCAGATGTTCCCTTCCCAATTACAGAGTCTCACTTCTTTCTAATCAGTGCCCTAACTTTAACATAAGAGTCTGTGCAAGGCTGGGAGTTCAGTTTGCACTGTAATTCAGCCACTTGCAGAATGTTGGTATTTAGTAATCTTGGCCCGGTAGTTACAGTCACAGAGACTTTGAGGTCCCTTTATGCAGATCCTGCATTTCTTCAGCTGCTTCAGCATATTTAGGAGCAGACAGTCAACCCCATTATTCTCACAAAAGTGTTCTGTGACAGCAAACGCTTGGTCACCCAAAGCCTTTCCCTCTCTAGATACTTAATTATTAGTGTCTAGATTATAATTTACATAACTTTGTCTACTGCGTGCCATGGAATACCACTGTCCCTTTTACCACTGCAGGGAAAGGGTCATTAATACCCTTAAATCTTTAAATCAGAGACTATTCTAGGTGGCATAGAAGCAATTTAGAGAACCTACTTTTAACTTTCTTTTCCTCTGGAACAACATTTGGCATTGGTTAGGGTTCAGAGAAGCTGAATCATTATGAGTGATATAAGGAATTTATTATAGGAATTAGCTCCTACGTGATCACAGGACGTGGTTAAGCAGTCAGCAGTGCCAGCAGTAGGGACAGGAAGATGGAGTGTGGGAGGGTAAAGAAGAGCTGAAACCAATGAGCACAAAGTGGAACCTCTCTGTCTCTTGCTTGCACTCATGTCGGTGTGTCATAGCCTCCAAGGCTCTGACTGCCAGGATGCTGGTGCCCTGCGGAAGGGCTGGTGCGCTTGCCATAGAAAATTGTACAAGAACATGGCCAACAATTCAGGGAAGCTGAAGAAGCTGTGGGCCAACCTGCTGCCCCAAAGAGATTCAGCAGGAGCTGGAGGAACTGGCTTCTGCCCGATGCCAAGAAGGTGAATGAGCCCCAACAGCACCTGACGTTACACCAGCCATCTGAATGTAAAGCTGTTGCTGTTTCATTTCTGCCTTCCAAGTCTGAAGCAGAGTTCAGTTGTGGCCAGTCCTAACCCAGAATCCTGGAAGGAAGTGAATGCTGGTAATTGGTACAATACAAAGCCACCATAACATCCTATTTTAAATCATAACCGTGAGGTTTCATCTTATGAAAATTTCAGGGCTTCAAGCTGGATTAATGCAAGCTGATGTTTTAGAGAGCACCAAGGACATCTTTAAAAAATTTTTAGTTTCTATTGTTGTGGTGTCGAAAGTAATCTCTTTGACTTTAATACTCGGATTGCTTAGAATCATACTTAAGGCTGCTTTATAAATTATTTATGATGGAATTAAAATGTCATTTCCAGTAGCACACTTGATTTCCCTTTTAGTTGTTACATCAGCTTGTTTATAATCACCGACTCCTTATCGTGCCAACTATATGAACCCAAATATGAGTGTTTTTGTGAAATAATATCTAAGTAGTTAGGGGATTACTTTAAAATGCCTTCCTTTTGTTTCAAAGTCTGGTCACTTAAATGACTTAGGAGATTGTTGTACCACTGTCCCACAATACAATAAAAGTAATAATGATCATTTATTAAATGCATAACTGTGTGCCAGGTACTATGTTAAGAACCTTCCATATGTTATCTCACTTAATTCTTTAAAACAATACTATGAAAGCTAGATATTACCCAGATGGGGAAATTATCCAGATGGGGAAATTGAGGCTCGCTTAAGTACTTAGCCTGAGCTAAGAAGAGGACCTAAGATTTAACTCAGGTCATGTGACTTCAACACACATGCCCTTAACCACCCTGCTCTACTACTATAAATTTGTCTGTAATTTCAATGGTGAGGAATATCCAAAAATCAGTAGGGAAACCTAAAACTATTTAGTCATTGTATCTTTTTTTTCCTTCCTTATAGGTCTAACTGAAGAATTGGATTCTGTAACCAATGAACTGCATGCAGTAGACATTCAAATTCAGGAACTTCTGGAAAGGCAACAAGAGCTTATTCAGAAAAAGAACATCCTAACAAACCAAATAAAGCAGAATTTAGAGGCTTCTGGTGCTGGGGAAAGCAGTGAATGGGATTCTTCACCTGCTGCTTGGAATAAAGAAGGTTTACTCTTTTTCTTTGCTAGTTTTGTTTCTGCTTGTTTCTTTATGTAGGAGTTAAATCATTGTTCCTGGACCAGTGCTTTCCACCGGCTTAGAGGGAAACTGGCCACTCTTTAAGCGGCATGGGAAACCAGTATGCAAACCATTCTTACCCATGTTCTTTTTGAATGAAGCTTTATTATTCAGACTTCATTATTTTTTTCCAAATCTGGTTCTAGCAGCATTAATCAATGCTTGGAAAAAGATTTTTAACTAAATTTTCTAAATTTTAACTAGAAAAAAATTAAACCATTAAGAAAAAAAGATAGACTCAAACTTCTTGCCAAAGTCTAGTTCATTTTCCTGCCCACCTTTCTTGATTCAAGATCTTGCCAAGCAACTTGTTTATCACTGGCTATCACATTATAATGAAATACTATGACTCTCAAATTGCAATGCTTTTATGGGCCTTGCTTTCCAGGGATTCCCTTCTAAACAAGATATTTATATAGAAAAATTCCACATAATTGTTAACTTGATGATATTTGAGATTATTATGATCCTATGAATTCCCTGATCAACATTCAGACTGTTTTTTGAATACCTGTCAAGTACCTTCCTCTTCTGTGTAGGTTAATTCTCAACTGGCAAATGTTTTCATTTTTTCTGATGTACTGTTTCTTATCATATAACATTAAATGTGTTTTTGCTTAGCTTCATGAGCTAAACTAATCTCAAAATTGTTAGTATAAAAGTTAAATTGTTAATAGTAAAGTCTTATATAAATTCTTACTTGTTTTTCTCTAGTATAAAAGCAGCCATTCATGTTTGTATCTCATTTATAATCCTAAATAGTTCTAATATATTAAACTTATTTTTCTCTGTCTAGATTTTCCCTGGTCTGGTAAAGTTAAAGATGTTCTGCAAAATGTCTTTAAACTGCAGAGGTTCAGACTGCTTCAACTTGAAACTATTAATGTAACAATGTCTGGAAAGGAAGTATTTCTTGTTATGCCTACGGGAGGTGGAAAGAGCTTATGCTACCAGTTACCAGCATTATGTTCAGATGGTATGTATTAATAAAGATTCATTTAAGTTGAAGAAATGCCATTTCTCTTTTAATTCCTTAAAAAAATCATTTCTAATTATACCTATGTAAAAATCAAGTGCAGTTTTATTTTATTTTTATGTTAATAGACATTTTAAAGGGTTCATTTAAAGAGGCAGTGTTAAAGAGTTTGCATGGAATTAGTTCTTTTATCTCATTCTTAGAACATAATTAAAAAACATGTTGTAGGAGAAAAAGTACCAGAAAAGGAATCCATGGGCCTGGATTCTACTCCCAGATCTTTATTGAGTGTCGGCTGTGGTGTTAAGCACGGGAGATAACAGTAGTGAGAAAAACGGGCAAAGTTCTAGTTTTCACAGAGCTCACGGTGTAAAGTAGGGCTTTCTCAAACTAACGTGTAAGAATCGCTGGTGATGCGATTAACATGCAGATTCTGAGTTTGTGTGGGACCCAAAATCTTGCATGTCTAACAGGCTCCCAGGTGATACCCATGCTGCTCTTTGGGAACTAGCAAGGGTATAGAGCAGGGGTCAGCAGACTTTCCCTTAGGGAGGGAGTCAGTAAATGGGATAGGTGTGGTCCATATGGTCTCTGTGGCAGCTTCTGAACTCTGCCATTGTAGCATGAAAGCAGCCATAGACAACATGTAAACTAATGGATGTACCTGTGTTCCATTAAAATTTGAATTACCCAAACAAGCAGCTAGTCCTTAGTTTATTGACCCCTGTTTAGAGAATATAGGTAATTGTAAGCAATTGCAATAAAGGTTTTGTGATAAAGATTTTAATAGGGAATTAAGTTAGTACAAAGATCTGGCCTAGGGGCTGTTAGAAAAAGCTGTCCTGCCAACATGACATTTAAGCTAAAAGCTGAAGGATAAGTAGGCAAAGATAGGATAGGGGAGTAAGGAAAAGTGTTCATGCAGGGGAGCACTATTTCTGAGCTCAAAAGTAAGAACATGCATTGTTGGGAGTATTCAGTAATGTGGAAGAATTTCAGTGTGGTAGGCAGTGAGGGGCAAGACTTGTGGAAAGAATCTTGATTATAAAAACTTCCTTAGATTAGTGGGAAACCAGTGAAGGGTTTTGTATAGATAAGAGACTAGTCAGAATTGTGCTTTAGAAGATAGAGGAATTGTAGAAATAATTAGGAGGTAGATGCAGTAGGACTGCATCATTGGATGCAGGGTGGCGGGGGTGGTAAGAGAAGGGATAGTCTAGAATGATGTCCAAATTCTAGTCTGGAACAAATGGTGAAGTTCACTGAAATAGGGTGAATTTGGAGAAAGAACTGTGGGAATGGAGAGAGAGGGAAGATGAGTTGAGGAAGTAGAACTAGCGAATGGGACATTCTTTGGAAAGAATTGTTATGCACGTAAAAGAGAGGGGGCCCTAAATTACCTGTCCAGGGTGTTTTAAAGATGAGGGAGACTTGCCCATGTTTAAATATAATGAGAACATACCACTGATGAAGGAGAATGTGAAAACACAGCGGAGACACTATTTGAGATGGCAAATCCCTGCTAAAGTCTGAGTCAGTGTATTTTTTAATTGGTCTGCTCTCTGTCTGAGGTTATTTTAAGGAACAAACTAGAGACAGAAGTTAGTGATTCTAATAATGTAGAATAACTCTTAGAGCTGTGCACAATTTCAGTAATAAGAGAAAGGGGATATACTATCAGCATTTCATTCAGTCAGTAAACTGTTCACTGATTTCTACTTGGCATGTATTAACCTGGTACAGTAAGTAGAAGAGTACTCATGTCACTATCATTTGTAATTATACAGGTTGCTGTGTTTTCTTTGGAAAGCTTTGGAATAACTTTTTCCTCGTATAACTGGACAGTATTTGACTAGATTTATAATATTTTGCTAATATGACCAATACTGATTGTTAAAATAAGTAAAAATTCAGAATGGTATCTATTTTTATTTGAATGAGGAAAGAGATTTCTGTCTAATCTTATATTTGCTTCTTTGGCTAATGGTCATTTATTTATATCTATCTCTTCTATTAATTAGGATGAAAAATAGGTAGTATATTGATGTGATGCCCTCAGGTGAGTGGTTGAAACTTATTCTAGAGTAGTGTAAAATTTAAAGTAGATACTTTTTCTCTTTTAGGTTTTACCCTTGTGATTTGCCCATTGATCTCTCTTATGGAAGACCAGTTAATGGTTTTAAAACAATTAGGAATTTCAGCTACCATGTTAAATGCTTCTAGTTCTAAGGTATGCTTCTGTAGCTCTTTTTTTTTTTAATTTAAACTCTTCACTGAAGTAGGAGCCTTGGTTACAACTGAGTTGGTTATAAAATTATAAAGTGATAACCATATGTGGAGTTGCAAACTACTGTTGATGGGCCAGTGTTAGCCCACTGCCTATTTTTATATGGTCTGTGAGCTAAGAATGGTGTGTGTGTGTGTGTGTATTTTTTTTTTAATTTTCAAATTTTTATTTAAATTCTAGTTAACATACAGTGTAATATTGGTTTCAGGAGTAGAATTCAGTGGTTCATCACTTATATACAACAGCCAGTCCTCATCATAACAAATGCTCTCCTTAATCGCCATCACCCCTCTAGCCCATCCCCCACCCACCTCCCTCCATCAGTCCTCAGTTTGTCAACCCTCAGTTTGTTCTCTATGGTTAAGAGTCTCTTATGGTTTGTTTCCCCCCTCCCATATGTTCATCTGTTGTTTCTTTTTTTTTTTTTTAAGATTTATTTATTTGTTTTAGAGAGTGAATGCAAGCAGGGGGAGGGGCAGAGGGAGGGAGAGAGAGAGAATGCTCAGATGCCCTGCTGAGCACAGAGCTCGATGCGGGGCTCGATCCCCCAACCCAGAGATAATGAACTGAGTGGAAACCAAGGGTCGGATGCTTAACCAACTGAGCCACCCAGTCACCCCTGTTTTGTTTCTTAGATTCCACATATGAGTGGAATCATATGGTATTTGTCTTTCTCTGATTGACTTATTTCACTTAGCATAGGACACTCTAGCTCTATCCACATCCTTACAAATGGCAAGATTTCATTCTTTTTGATGGCTGAGTAATATTCCATTATAAATATATGTACACACACACACCCCCACATCTTCTTTATCCATTCATCAGTTGATGGACATTTGGTCTCTTTCCATAGTTTGGCTATTGTTGATAATGCTGCTATAAACATCAGGGTGCATGTACCCTTTCGAATCTGTATTATCCTTTGGGTAAATACCTAGTAGTGCATTTGCTGGATTGTAGGGTAGTTCTATTTTTAACTTTTTGAGGAAACTGCATGCTGTTTTCCAGAGTGGCTGCGTCAGTGTACGTTCTCACCAACAGTGCAAGAGGACTGCCCTTTCTCCACATCCTCACCAACACCTGTTGTTTTTTATGTTGTTAATTTTAGCCATTCTGACAGGTGTGAAGTGGTATCATCATGGTTTTGATTTGTATTTCCCTGATGTTGAGTGATGTTGAGCATCTTTCCATGTGTCTGTTAGCCATCTGGATGTCTTCTTTGAAAAAATGTCTGTTCATGTCTACTGCCCATTTCTTAACTAGATTTTTGGGTATTGAGCTTGGTAAGTTCTTTATAAATTTTGGATACTAACCCTTTATCAGATACATCATTTGCAGATATCATCTCCCATTCCGTAGGCTGCCTTTTAGTTTTTGTTGATTGTTTCTTTTGCTGTGCAGAAGCTTTTTATCCTGATGAAGTCCCATTCATTTTTCCTTTTGTTTCCCTTGCCTGTGGTGATGTGTCTAGGAAGAAGTTGCTATGGCTGATGTCAAAGACATTGCTGCCTATGTTCTCCTCTAGGATTTTGATGGTTTCCTACTCACAGTTAGGTCCTTCATCCCTTTTGAATTTAATTTTGTGTATGGTGTAAGGAAGTGGTCCAGTTTCATTCTTCTGCATGTTGCTGTCCAGTTTTCCCAACACCATTTGTTGAAGAGACTGTCTTTTCTCCATTGGATATTCTTTCCTGCTTTGTCAAAGATTAGTTGACCATAGATCTGTGAGTCCATTTCTGGGTTTTCTGTTCTGTTTCATTGATATATGTGTCTTTTTTTGTGCCAGTACCATTCTGTCTTGATGACTACAGCTTTGTAATATAACTTGAAATCTGGAATCATGATGCCTCCAGCTTTGGTTTTCTTTTTGAGGGTTGGTTAGCTCTTTGGGGTTTTTTGTGGTTCCATACAAATTTTGAGATTGTTCTAGCTCTGGGAAAAGTGCTTGGTGGTATTTTGGTAAGGATTGCATTAAATATGTAGATTGCTTTGGGCAGGGTGGTATTGACATTTTAACAATTTTCTTCCAATCCATGAACATGGAATGTTTTTCCATTTCTTTGTGTCCTCTTCAATTTCTTTTATAAGTCTTACATAGTTTTTAGAGTACAGATCCTTTACCTTTTTGGTTAGGTTTATTCCTAGGTATCTTATGGTTTTTGATGCAATTGTAAATGGGATTGATTCCTTGATTTCTTTTTCTGTTGTTTCATTATTGGTGTATGGAAATGGAACAGATTTCTCTACATTGCTTTTATATCCTGTGACTTTGCTGAATTCATGTATTCTAGCAATTTTTTGGTGGAGTCTTTTGGGTTTTCTACATAGAGTATCATGTCATTTGCACATAGTAAAAGTTTGACTTCTTCCTTGCCAATTTGGATGCCTTTTATTTCTTTTTCTTGCCTGATTGCTGAGGCTGGGACTTCCCTTACTATGCTAAATAGTAATGCTGAGAGTGGATATCCCTATATTGATCCTGACTGTAGGGGAAAGCTCTCAGCTTTTCCCCACTGAGGATATTAGTTGTGGATCTTTCTTATATGGCCTTTATGATAGTGAGGTATGTTCCATCTATCCCTACTTCGTTGAGGGTTTTTATCAAGAATGGATGCTATATTTTGTCAAGTGCTTTTTCTGTATCTATTGAGAGGATGATATGGTTCTTACACTTTCTTCTATTAATGTGGTGTATCACGTTGATTGATTTGCGAATATTGAACCACCCCTGCAACCCAGGAATAAATCCTACTTGATCATGGTGAATAATTCTTTTAATGCACCATTGGATTCAGTTGCTAGTATCTTGTTGAGAATTTTTGCATCCTTGTTCAGGGATGTTGGTCTGTAATTCTCCTTTTTAGTGGGATCTTTGGTTTTGGAATCAAGGTCATACCAGCCTTATAGAATGAGTTTGGAAGTTTTCCTTCATTTCTGTTTTTGGAATAATATGAGAAGAATAGGTACTAACTTTTCTTTAAATGTCTGGTAGAATTCCCTTGGGAAGCCATCTGGCCTTAGACTTTTGTTTGTTGGGAAATATTTGATTACTGATTCAGTTTCTTTGCTGGTTATGGGTCTGTTCAAGTTTTCTGTTTCTTCCTGTCTTAGCTTTCATAGTTTGTATGTTTCTAGGAATTTGTCCATTTCTTCCAGATTGCCCAGTTTGTTGGCCTATAATTTTTCATAAATTCTAATTGTGTTTCTGTGGTATTAGTTGTGATCTCTCCTCTTTCATTCGTGATTTTATTTTTGGTCCTTTCTCTTTTTGATAAGTCTGGCTAGGGGTTTATCAGTTTTATTAATTCTTTCAAAGAACTGGCTCTTGATTTCGTTGAACTGTTCTGTTTGTCCTGTTTTCATTTTCATTTGCTTCCATGTACTTTTTAATTTCGTCTTAAATTTTCTGGTTGAACAATTCATTCTCTAGTAAGATGTTCTTTAACTTCCATGTATTTGTGGTCTTTCCAAATTTTTTCTTGTTGTTGACTTCAAGTTTCAGAGTGCTGTGATCTGAAAATCTGCATCGTATGATCTCAGTCTTTTTGTACTTGTTGAGGGCTGATTTTGACCCAGTATGTGGTCTATTCTGGAGAATGTTCCATGTGCACTCGAAAAGAATGTATATTCTGCTGCTTTAGGATGAAGTGTTCTGAATTTATCTGTTAAGTCCATCTGGTCCTGTGTGTCATTCAAAGCCATTATTTCCTTGTTGATTTTCTGCTTAGATGATCTGTCTTTTGCTGTTAGTGTCCTCTACTATTATTGTATTATTGTCAATGAATTTCTTTATGTTTGTTATTAATTGATCCATATATTTGGGTGCTCCCAAGTTGGGGGCATATTTATAATTGTTAGATCTTCTTGATTGATAGACTCCTTAATTATGATATTAGTGCCCTTATTCATCTCTTGTTACAGTCTTTGGTTTAAAATCTAGTTTGTCTGATATAAGTATGGCTAATCTGGCTTTCTTTTGACGTCCATTAGTATGTTAGGCGTTTCTCCATTCCCTCTCTTTCAATAGGCAGGTGTCTTTAGGTCTAAAATGAGCCTCTTGTAGGCAGTGTATAGATGGGTCTTGTTGTTTTATCCATTCTGATACCCTGTGTCTTTTGATTGGAGCAATTAGTCTATTTACATTCAGAGTGATTATTGAAAGATAAGAATTTAGTGCCATTGTGATACCTGTAAAGTTGGTGGTTCTGGTGGTGTTCTCTGTTCCTTTCTAGTCTTTGCTGCTTGGTATTTATAAAAGTATATATACACTTTAAAGATTTATTTATTTCAGAGAGAGAAAGTGCACGCGGGTGCGGGCGGAGGAGCAGAGGGAGAGGGAGATGGGGAGCATGCTCCCCACTGATTGTGGAACCTGACATGGGGCTCGATCCCACAATCCTGAGATCACGATCTGAGCTAAAACTAAGAGTCAGACACTCAACCAACTGAGCCACCAAGGCAGCTCTTGATTTTTATATTTTTGAATGTTGAAAAAAATGAAAAGAATGAGAGTACTTTGTGAAGTGTGAAAATTATATGAAATTTAGATTTCAGTGTCCATAAAGTTTTATTGGAACACAACCATGCTTATTCATTTACACGTTGTCTACCACTGTTTCACACAATAATGGCAGAGTAGTTGTGATATTGTATGGCCCACAAAACCTAATATTTACTACCTGGCACTTTACAGCAAACATTAGCTGACCTGTTTTATATTTTCTGTTAGAAAATGGTAAGCAAGAATTTCTAATTATGGAATATAATTAAATACAGATGGTGCATTACTAGCAAGGTATGGAATTTCCCTGTGGAATTTCGTCTGTTTTGGAATGGACTCTTCATCTTTTGAATAAGCATTTCTCACCTATTCTTTTTTACAAAGGATGTTACTAAAATTTTCAAAAGATAGAAAAGTAGAATCATAATACAACTGCCAAGTACCCATTAACCACCTTTAACAGTTATCAGCATATGACCAGTTTTTTTTCATTTGTACACCTGGAGTTTACCCCCCCCTTGATTGCTTGCTTGCTTTCTTTTTCTTTCTTTCTTTCTTTCTTCCTTCCTTCCTTCCTTCCTTCTTTCCTTTCCTTTCCTTTCCTTTCTTTTCCTTTCTTTTCCTTTCTTTTCCTTTTCCTTTCTTTCCTTTCTTTCCCAGACATTATATCATTTCAGTTGTAACTCCTTCAGTATGTATGAGAAAGATATAATTACAATGACATCGTCACACCTAAAACATTTAGTGTTGATTCATTAACATCATCAAGTAAAAATATTCTCATCAAAAATTTTTTTTTTAAATCGTGATGGAGTATGTTGTATTTTGTTGATTTTTCTGTAGGTTCCCCTTATTTCTTGTTTGTTTCCCATGCAAATTTAAATTAAATCAGGGTCTTTGTCTTATAGTTCACTACATTTTGGTTTTCTGATTATCTCCTTGTGATGTTCAATTTGTTCTTTTTTAAGTATCATTATAAACTTATGGACATTTAACATATTTGTTAGATCTTAATCCATACTATTCTTTATTATGCTGAAATAGTCCTATGTTTGGGCAGTGAGCACCTCTTCAGGTTGGCTCCTGAATCTTTTTTCTTCACCCCATAGTTTTTGACTCCTTGCTTGCTTTTATGAGAAGTTACTCCATGCTCATTTTGCATATTTCCTTCCAGACCTGGTGTCAGCCATATCTCCAGGTAGCCGTGGTTCCTTTAGTTTTTCCCATCTATTTCTAGTTTTATTTAAACTCTCATGTCCAAACTGCTGTCTCATTCAACAGAATGAATGTGGAGAACATTGCTTTCTACTACTGTATGTCCTTAATCCTGAAAAAGAGAGTAATAATAATAGAAAGCAGCTAGAAGTTGCAGATAACTAGAGGTTCATGGCACATCACTGCTGTTTGAAAAATTGGAGAGAAAAAAAGAAAGGATGGGTCAAGGTCAAGTCCAGTTTTCTGTTTGCTTTCACTAGTGGTTCATAGGCTGTGAATACAACTTTTCTTAACCTTGCTTCTCCACTTACTCTGCTAGAAGTTCTGGAGAGTCAGGGATTTTTTTTTTTTTTAAGATTTTATTTATTTATTTATTTGATAGAGCAGGAGTTGGGGGGAAGGGGCAGACAGAGACGGACAAGCAGACTTGGCACTGAGCGCAGAGCCAACCCGGGGCTTGATCCCATGACCCTGAGATCATGACCTGAGCTGAAATCAAGAGTCGGACACCCAACCCACTGAGCCACCCAGGTGCCCCAGAGTGTTTTCATTTTTATTTTTTGTTCTGTTTTTTTGTCAAATGAGATCATTCTTTTTATCAGCATTTGGATACAAGTAAACATGTAAAATGCTATTTACAACTGCCCTGAAGTTTAGTACTGGGACATAGGCTCAGTTTTAATGAACTCAGCATCTGCTAAAACAGTCCAAGGCTGTTGCTTGAGTAACTTTGAGTTTGAGTAATGAGCATCTTCATTTACTGCTTAGTATCCCAGTCTGCTAGCTTAGTTCCATAATTGTGTCTGTTTTTGCTTTCAATAGGAGCATGTGAAATGGGTTCATGCTGAAATGGTAAATAAAAGCTCCAAGCTAAAGCTAATTTATGTGACCCCAGAGAAAATCGCAAAAAGCAAAATGTTCATGTCGAGACTAGAGAAAGCCTATGAAGCCAGGAGATTTACCCGGATTGCTGTGGATGAAGTTCATTGCTGTAGCCACTGGGGACATGATTTCAGACCTGGTATGTATGATGTATCTAGAACACTCCTTGATCCTAGGGACTATTCTTACTTATATGTTGGAAATCCCTGCTTCCATTAAAATTATTTCCTCAGCCAGTTATTACTCATTTTCTCTTACCTTAATATAAGGGGAACCAAGAGGCAGAGTCTTCAATCTCTTTATTCCCCTCCAGGGTAGCACTTAGTCTGATTGCCTTTATCCCTTGAAATGCATGTTTCTCAGCAACATGATTCTCGCCCACCTTTAGCCATAAAGGTTTACTGACACCGGGTTCTCCTTCGCATCCATTGAGGAATTCGTATCTGCTTCGGAGCTGTCTCCTTTAGTCATCAGTCAGGGTCTCCGCCATCCATTTCCAGATACATACCCAACTACCACCACGGGGTTACAGTGCTGTGGGGTATTTTAGTAACCCCGTTCTTTACTCCTCCAACCTAATCCTGCAGTCATAGCCGGAAGCAGATCACCCAGACTTGCTCTGTGCAAAACAACCTTAAATTTAAGAAATCCTGCTCATGATTTCAACCTCATTTCTTTCTGAACTTGCTTTCACACACATATGGACCCCTAGGGTCCCCTTTAATCCCTCTGTGTATTTGTCCACAGCTCCAGATGCCACCTGATGGTCACTCTCTCCTCTTTCCATACTCTGCTGTTGCCACTTCTGTTTCTCGTGGTTTGCCTGGCATTTTACCTGCCTCAGGCTCTGTGCCAGACTGAGCTGCTGGACCGCTCCCAGCTTCTGCTTCCCCCATTTGTGCTGTTTCAGTACTAAACGCTGCCAGGAAAAAATTGCACAGCTGCATTCATTTCCACCTCAGGTCGCTGTCATCAGACTCCGCTGTGTTTTACTTGTCCCTGATGCGTCTCCTGTAAGCATTTCTCCCAGCAAGCTTTTCGTGCCTTTAGGTCCTCCTCCTACTTAGTGGATGCCTCCTGGTCCCCAGGAAATAGGTGCCAGCAGGTCTGGAGGTCTCCTCTTTCTCCTTCCATACATTAGTAATCTTGTTTTCTCTTCTTAAGGTAAAAGAGACCATTTCTTGTAAGGGTTACCATGACTCCTCCCACTTAATCCTCTCCTGCCTTCTTAAGATCTCGCTCTGTCAAAGTCTTCACTCCTGCATCGTTTTTTAAAATGTTTAAATTTTTTTTAAAAGATTTATTTATTTGAGAGAGAGAGAGTGAG